CACAAGTATAAATGGGGCCAAGTTTGAGAAACATTGCACTAGATGAAAGCAAAGAGACACATACAATCTGAACTTTTTGTTGCCATCTACTGGTCATCTAGATTTTTGCAGCATATTTCTGATTGCCATTCTATTCATGCCTCCATTACTCATTGGCTAGATTCACATATTGGGTTCAACTATGGTTTCTTTAGCCATGGCTTATTAAATAAATAAGTTGGGTCTTAAGCTACAACTTCGAAACTAAACAAATCAACTTATGGTTTAGCATAATGCGTGTGAATCAGGTCACCAGCAGGTTTCCTGAAATCTCTGTTGTCCATCTTGTTGTCTAATTGTTCTCACTTGCTGCAGCCCTGGTCTGCTTCTCTACTACTCTCCTGCCTCCCTGTTAATGTCTCATTTTTCTTCCTGCCACCAAGGTAACAGCTTTTTTCTGTAATTTGAAAAAAATTATCAAATTTTAATATTCCTGCCTTTCTTCTTGTTTTCCTTGAACTGTGTTCCTTTGTACAGTTTTATTTTTATTTATATTTCAAATTTGGTCACCTCCCATCTCACTAGGAAGTGACTCTGGGCAGTTTACAGTTTATGTTCACATGGAAGCAAGGCCTACTGAATATTAATTCTGAATAAATATATACAGATATGTCCTTTTAAAAAAAGAAACAACTGTTTCCACTCATGTTCCTATTCCTCTCTATCATTTGCCCCCTTCTTTTTTCTTGTTTTCTGATTGTTTCCAAATGTTAGTTCTCTTCAGTGCTAATAAACTAAAAGTGTAACTGGATGGATACAGTTTAATAAGGCATTTTTATTTATTACAATTTTACATCCGCATAACAATGCAAAAGGAGGTGCAGGTTACTCAGTTGAAATTTGCAGGGATTGCTTCACATTTCTTAAGTGTGCTTAAGTAAGTCTTTCTCAGTTGTAATTTCTGGCCAGTAAATTTTCTCCTTTCAGATTCAAATGCCCCTGCCTCATTGCAGCACTCTTGAAATTGCTTATTCATTGGTTTCTGAAAAATCTGCACCCTTCTTCTCCCATCTTACTGTTAAAAAGCAATGGCTGAATTCACATTCTGCAGAAGGTTATAATGTGTTTTTTTTATTATTGTTTCATTTTTTTCATATAAGTGCAGCCAGCTATGGTTTGTTAAACCATGGTTTCATGAATAGGCATCCAGTACAAGCCATGATGATGTAACATGCATCACAACAACATTAAATCATTTGCATCACATGCAAAGTGATGTCATGATGCATGTGATATCATTTGTTCCCATATCCCCCTCCCCCACAGATATCCATGGCTTAGTCTGATGTGTAAATCCAGTCAAGGTATTAAGTGTGTATTTTTTGCAATCGTACTTGAAACTGTTTCAAAGGAAAAGATTGCTGCTAGTTTGGTACTGGACAGTCAGGTGGTACTGAAATCCAGCATTTCTTGCCACTGGACATTCTAGCTAGGGGCTGGGTAAAGCTGAAGTATGTGGATGACCACGTGTTACATTTATACTGATGGATGGCACAACCTGGAGTAGCCAGCAAGGACAAGAGAGTAATGCAGAGGCTCGAGGCCACATGATTGAAAGGAACTGGCCCTCAAGGGATGGCTTTGGCAAAAGTATTACATTGAGATCCCCACACCCCCGCCCAGCTTCTCACTCCTGCCTTCAGAACTATGCTGCCCCTTTCCTAGCCCTAATAAGACCATTCTGAGTCACTGACTCAGGATCGGGCTTTTTAAAAATGCTTTCTAAAATATACTTTAAATAGACAGTTCCATTTGCTACCATTGAAAAAGTACTGTGCTGCTATTCTGTTTTCCTCACCCTTATAGAATTTTGACAGTAGGAAAAAGATGTGCAAAGTGTTGAGAAAGCACAAAAGGGCTACAAATACGAGCTTCCACCCCAATAAAATTCTGAGGGCCATTCTAAAACAAAACCCTTGTCTGGAAGTATCCAGAGTCTTTAATGTTACATTCAGAAAGTGCTGATAGATTCACTTCCTTATGTCACTGCCATGGCTCTTTGGAAAAACAGAAAAGTAGCAGGAAATAATTCCTAGGCAAATACAGAATGATTACTGATCATGTCAACTTGGCAATTCTACATTAAATATCTTTTTGATAATACTGTACAACTTGTTCTAGCCTTGGATTTGTATAAAATTGTTTGCAAGCCAAATTGAGTTTGTGGGAGAATTTCCCCCTTAGATTAATTGTTTACTGAAACTTCAGTCATATTAATATAAGTTTCCCTCTTACAATTTCATTGGCTGAGCAGTTAGAATATTCCTGGACATTTTAGCTACTGTAAGAGCTTGCTCAATGGTTATGGAGGCTGCATTAGCACACCACATATCAAAGAGTCAGAGTTAACTATATAGTTTGGTTAAAATATGTCTTTTTCCCCCATGGATAAGGTATTATAATTCTCAAAAAGCATCTGTTTCTTTCATTAATAGGAAGAGTTGTCCCATTGGAAAACTGTACACGGGTGACAAGGATAGGTAAAAGCCAACTCATCTACGAACATTTCAGAAAACCATTAGAAATGTGTGTATCTGCAGAAGTTTCTTCTTTTTCTAGAAGCAAGCAGAGCTGGAATGATTCTGAAAACAAAATTCATTCCAAAAAAAAGAAATGCAAGCCAGCTAGAAGATGGGATTCAACACAAATGGAAACAAATATTCAGTGTAAATCTGGTGTGGAAGCCAGCAAAGGTATCAGAGGTGAACATGTGGGAGATGATAAGAAAAATAGTTTAAAAATAAATCCGGAAGATTCTTCTGACTGTGAAGCTGGTTCAAGTACTTTAACTACTTCAAGACTGATTAAAGATCCAAGATTAACAAGAAGAGAACAGAATGTGGTGAAGCAAAATGAAGAACTTATTATGAAACCACCTTTCCATGATGATATCAATATAAGCACATGCAAACCAAGTCCTAAAAATATAACATTTAGCAAAGACAAGAAACATAATGGAGGAGAAATGGATAGCCAGTTTCAAGAGGATTATATTTCTCCTTCTGAAATAGAGCATTCCACTCATCTCGATACCAGATGTGCTACAAACAGTTGTACTTCATCAAAGGCAGAACATTGTGGTAATATTTTTCAACCTGCATGCTTTAAAAAAATGTATGTTTCTGAAAATAACTATGTCTATGAATGGTCCTCAGATGAAATCACATCAGAGAATTTTGAACAAAATAAGCTTCAAGCAGTGAAAAATTTAAATCTAAAATCTAAAAACTCCCACATGGCTGAAACCCATAAAAAAGATAAACAAATATATTCAGCATCTGAAAAAGCAAATAACTCCCCAGATAAAGATTATACAATAAACAAAATCAAAGAAAAATCTTCTAAAAGGATTAGCAATATAGAGAGCATCAGATATCATCCTTGTGATACCTGTATAACGGACACTGTTATAAGAGACCTTAGTGAAAAAAGTATGTGTCTTTCCAAGCCAGAATGGTTGGACAAAAATCATTTTGAGGATAGCAGAACATGTATTTCCTTGGGGTTATTTACTGATGAACAAAAAAACCGTGAAACAAACAGCACAGAAGACACACATTTTAATGAGATACGTGTAAACCAATTAGAGGAGGAGGTTCCATGTGGGAAAAAAGCCAAAAAGTATAACTCTGCAACAGAAACTGCATTTAAAAATACAGCAGAAAACTCATCAAGAAAAAAACAAGAACCTGTCAAGACGGACTTGAAAAAACCTGTAGATGATATAAACAATTGTATAGAAACATCAGAAAATTCAGATGCTTTAGATTTAGAAAACACAGATTTTGTTTTCAACGTGAGTTTTCAAAGAAGCTCATTAACAGAAACAGAACGGATGAACAGAGAACATTGCAAAGAGAAGTTGGAAGAACTGCACGACCGAGCATTGCTTACTAAAAGTATCGACTTGACAGGTCAGGAGACAGTAAACCCCAGAATGTTACTCACATCGGTTCCTATATCTTTGGGGAATATGGGGGACACAGAAGGCAACAAACAGTCTGAAAATACAGCTTCTTCAAATGCCGGTTCTGAAGGGTTGAACAAGAACTTGTTTTGTAGACAAGTTCCTGAAATACACGAGCAAGATTTAGAGATAAAATGTGACTATGTAAACATCCACAGCTTAGACATTTCTAGTGAGATTGAAAATGTACTAGAGGAGTATAAGAAATGTCTCTCGGTGTGGCACAAGCCACATAATCATGGAAATATTAGTAAAGAGAATGGCTATCGTTATTTACAAGAACGTTTAGATTGGGGTAATCTGGTTGGAAAACCTAGCTTGCATGTAAATCTTTCAGAAAGTCCAACTTTGAAGGAGGATGAAGATAAGTCTTTATATAGGGAGAAATCTGGTGAGGAAGAAGGAACTGAGTTACTTAATACATGTTCATGCCCTGATTTACAAATTACAATAACCAATATATTTCAATCAAAATTAGAGACTGAAATGGAAAAATGTTCAACTAAATATTCAGCACCAAAAAAGCGTATTAAGTGGTCACAAGGGAAAAAAAAGAAAAAACACACAAAGGGGCAGCAAAATTCCAAGCTGTTTCGCAAAAAGAAAGAACTCAACATATGTTCTTCAACCCAGATGTTTTCTTCATTATCCAAGGGACAGTTTAAAAAAACTGAACAGTCCAAAAAATATATTAAGAATATTCTGAATGCACTTAACAACACCGAAGCATTGCTATGCAAAAACAAACATCCTTCTCAAAAAATAATTGGTGCAATGTTTCACCTAAGAAAAGCTCTGAAGAGTGTTCAGTGTTTAAAAACGGTGACAAAAGCTGGAAGAAAAACTCCAGGTGGCGCATTATCGAAAGCAAAGAAAGGCTTACAGGATGGAACCTTCGTGCTAGATTCTTCTGAAACATCTGATTGCAGTATCAATATATCTTGTAGCAGTGATTGTGCAAAAAATAAAGCAGTAACAGTCTCTGAAAAAAATGCCAGCTTAGATACTACAGATATTAAAAGCATGGAGCCAGTTAGTGGTGAGCCTATCATGTGCGACAAAAAGAGGTTTGCTGTGGAAGGCTTTTTTAGAAATGTGACACAAGAAAAAAATGAAGAGAGTGTAATTGCAGCCATGGAAAACATCAAACAGACTTTGAGTTCTGATACTAATAGCTGTAGAAGCAAAACAAATGAAAATGAATTTAACTCTTCTATGAAAAGAAAGGAATTAACTGTCTGTCAAAGAAGCCAAACAAATGGTGATGAAACTGTTAAGTCTAATGTAAAGATTAGTACTGCTAAAATTGCTACACCAGTTCAACCAACTTTTGAATCTGCTGCAAAAGTAAATGTATTCAGGTCAGATGATATTTCTGGGCCAAATCCCAATTTCACTGCGCTGAAAAAAACAAGTAATGACAAAGCTCTGGAACTATCTGCATTACAGGAGGAAAACATGATTCTGAGTGCTGGAAGGTGTCATGCTTCATCGGCATGTTGGTCTTTAACAGAAGACAGCCTTAATGCCAAAACCTCTGTGGTTCAGTTAACTCCAGAAATGCATAGCAACAGGTCATTGTCTTTAAAAACAAAGTCAAATGATTCATCAAATAAAAATGTAGGTATAAATTGCTCTGAAACCCCAGCAGGATCTTTCAGTAGACAGAAGCAAAAAGTAGATTCTCATTGTAAAAAGGATTATTTAAAATCAAAACTTAATACATTTAGTCAAACAGCCGAACAGGAAATATATACTGCAGAGAACAGGCATTGTAAATCATTGGGCAAATCGGTGAAACATCCAGGAAATAATACTAAGACATCATCTAGTGGTGATCTGCCATCTCCTACATCCTTGGTAGATAATAACTTGTGCCAATCATCTCATCATTGTATATTACAGAAACTTGAAGAGGAAAATATAGAGGAAACAGAAATACCAGAAACCAAGACTGATTCTGCAGCTAAAAGACTAGATATAATCCATGACATTCCTGTGAAGTCATTAAATAACCTGGATTTAAGGCAGGAAAACATGAAACAAGTAAACCGTGTCATACTTGGAGAATCCACATGCAGACAGACTTCCTTAGACAGTGCTGATAACTGTAATCAGCTTCATTTTAATTCTCTACTAACAGCAGTTTCAGAACAGGATCTTGAAACCATTACTGCAACAACTATTTTACTTCCTCCCTATAAAACAAACCAACTTCTGACTAGCACTGAGACCAAGCAAAATGGAAGCTATTTTTCACATACCTCTTCTAACCACTGCAGCAATCTCGGCAATAACATCCAACTTTCAAAAGTAAGAATTGGTCTAAATTCCCATGATTTTGACCTTAAAGTATCTGAAATCTTACAAAAGGCAGATAAAACTTCATCTCTGAATGTACTGCATGAACAGATTTCATGTTGCAAAAGTGTTCTTCCTTTGTTCGTTAGGGCTTTTGAAAGAAAGCAAGGTTGTTCTTTTGAGTATGTTCTGATTTCTAGGGAAATACTTGGGAGCACTAAAAGAAATACACAGGCAAGTCAGAAATTAAAACCTTGTGCTATAGAAGCACTAGTTGAGCTGCAAATTATAATGGAAACAATGGAGTTTATTGAGAATAAGAAAAGATTTTTAAAAGGTGAGCCAACTTTCCGAAGTTTGCTTTGGTATGATGATTCACTGTATAGTGAACTGTTTGGTGGGCATTCAGGTTATCAACAGCAATCAAATTTCTATCCTGCTTTTCAGAGGAGATTAAAATACAGTGCCGTTAATGAATTACAGATCTACTATAAGGAGTTAGTGGAAGCTTTTGAGAACACTATATCTGAGAATAATTCTTATTATTCTTTGTTGAAATTAAGGCGAGAAATAGAGGAATGTGAATCAGTAATGAAACAGATTTCCAATTTATCTGATTTTTTTTTATCCGTGCCCTTTATTTGTGGAGCTAACTTTGGAGATTCTATAGAAGACCTAGAAAATTCAAGAAAAAGTACAATGGATCTAATAAATGTATCTAAAAGTCTTCCAGGCATGAATTTGAGTGCTGAAAAAGATCATCATCTCTGGATTATTATGGAGATTATTGGTAAAAAAATTGAATTTGTAAAGACATGTACCAATGAAGAGTTTAATCTTAAAACTTCACTATTTGGTCTGGAGCATATATTTTTTGATGCTGCTAAAAATCTTGTTTGGCAAGAAAGAAATACATTTTTAAATAGCAGTTCAAAAGATGGGAAAGAAGTGCTCCAAATAAATGAAATTGCTATGACTAAGCTCTATGAGATTTATGAGCATATGATAGAAGATTCTGGATGTGGAAATAATAATAATGTAACTTTTGGAGGACATACCAAGAAATGTACAGGAGACTCTTGTATCTGTGAAGAAGCAGGCTCACAACACAATACAAATTGTTTCATTGGAAACTCTCTAACTTTGCAACAAGATAGTTGTTGTATAAGTGAAATCTTGGATGAAGCACAGTCTGCAGATATTGAAAGGCTGCAACAGCTCATAGGCAGATGTACAGTGCACACTGAAATGCTGAAGAAGTATTTTCAGATTTTACAGGAGGAGGATGTAACTATACTGATAACCCAAGAAAATGTGTTGGATTTCATGAAGAATGGAGGAATAAATCCTGTCATTCTGAAGCCAGAAGCCATTGAAGTGTATACTGAATTGGCAATGATATATGAAACTATTTTTTTCCTTAAAAACTCAATAGCAAAACAAGTGGATAAACCACAGTTTCGTAGTTTACTATGGTTTGATTTATCACTTCTGCCTGAACTTTTTCGATGCCAAGAAAAAATGGCTTCCCTGTCTTATCGGAAAGATAAGCTTTTAAAAACAGTAGAGTCTTCCATCTCTGAACTTCAGGATGAGTTGAATGTTATTTATGACTATGCAGAAAACTTAAATTGTTCATACGCACTTCACCTTCTCACAAGAGAGCTTGCAGAACTTTCAGAAACAAGAAAACTGTTAGGAACATCCAAATCCCCTGTCTCCATGTGTGTTGACTTAGCACCCTACACTATAAGTTTAAATTATGGAAGTACAGTTTCTGAATTAGACTCTAACTATAACCAGTTTTCTTCACTTCTTGAGAAATTGATGTTGGCTGAAAAGAAAGATTTAGGAAAAATGGCTCACATTATGAAGGTGATGAAAACCATTGAGCACATGAAGTTTATCTGTTCTGAACAGGGAAAATCGCCTCTTCCTGTGGTTATACATCAGATGCTTAAAAACTGGAGAAAAGCTTGTCAGTTGAAACGGCAACTTATGGAAACGCAGCTGGATCACAGTAAAACACTTCAGGCTTCCCAAATTCTACACAAAAGGCCATTTAATGTAGCTTTAGAAGACAAGCCCTGTTCATCAGAAGAAAAAATTGATCTCTCACATAACAAAAAGAAAAAGGTAAGGTAATCTGACACTTTCTCTAAACGGTGATTCATATATTAACTTAGTCATGTATTATGTAAATGTCACATTACTTATATTACTTATAAGAGATTACTTATATTTTGGGGGTTGTAATCCTACACATTATTCTATTTGACAGCTTTCCAATGTAGTTTGGATGTACCGTATTTCCTGTTATTTAAGTCCTAAACCAGGCTGGATTAAGGTCATGATGGGGTCTCATAGGCAGTAATGGATTCCCTACTTTGTCTCTAATACTGAACACCAATTTCTGAGTGTGGATGGATAAAGCCATTTTATATACAAAATGAAAAAAAATCTGGCTTTTTTGGAAGAAAAAAATTAATAGGATTTATTTATTACAATTTATTTTGTATACCACTTTTGTTTTGGTCTGATTGTTTCATTTTTGTTTTAATATTTTGTATTTTTATATGTTTATGTTTAGTTATAAGCTTCCCAGAGTTGTTTGTGAGTCAGGAAGCCTATAAATTAAATAAATAAATGATAAAAATAAGCACATAGAAATATTTAAATGGTTTCTTTGTACTTTCCTTGTCAATTCCTCCTGGGTATATAATTCTATTCTTGAACGACTCCTTCAAAAGTAATATACCATGCACAGCCTATTAATACTATTTCCATTAATATAAAAAGACCATTACAGTATATATGAAAAAAGACTAAGGGAAGAAAACTCTGCTTTACAATCTCAAAGTTCCATAAATGTAGTAGTGTATGGATTTGATTTTAAAACACCAGATGATTTTTCATTTAATTTTGCAAAAGTAGAGTGTTTTGAATATTTCAAAACTTTGCTTTAATAACTACCTGCATACTCCTAGACTAGAATGAATTCATTGTGTGATTACTGTTCTACAGATTCAAATAAACCATTCCCAGAATGTTTGGGAATGTACATCACAGCACTTACTTCCACCTTTTTTCTCCAGGCTCTAAATCTTGTCTTATGGCAAAGAAAGACATGGAAAGGAGGTCCCTCAGGCATTGACAGAACAACTGTTTGTCATTAGGGATGGGGCCATAACTACACCACTGTAGCAGTTGCATCTTACATGGAAAAAGATTCAGTCAGCCCTATCCTTTCAGTACCCATGAATTTTCAAGATAGTAAGCTATCAAAGGAAATTGTTATGGAAAACCTGCTGACCTTGTTCCTTGACTCTTGTAATTGGAATGCTTGAGCTCTTGTAATTAGATTGTATAAACTCAGTGTTCCCTTTTCTGCAGCTGCTGCTATTTCAGCAATGCTACTCTTTCTATAAAAAAAGCATAGTGAGAGTTGCTATCAGCATATTCAGGACACTTCATAATTCATGTATATTTTGCCAGTAAGCTGCTTCACTAACAAGTTTCAGCAAGATTATTACAAATAGTAAATACAAGTCTGTTTTTATCTTTTCAGTCAATGTGAACTTTGCTGCTGAAGGAAACAATGATCTGTAACTAATGACAGATTGTTATTAGTTTTTGACATTTATATCTTTTATAACATTTAGAATGTTATTAGTTTTTGACATTTAAGTCCTGTGGCCTCATTAGTCCCATACAGAGATTTCCATGGCATAATTAAAATAATTTGCAATAAATAAAAACAGATAAAATAAGCAAATCTAAACTAAGAATCAGCATCCAGGTAAAGCAATAAGTAAAACAATGAAACTTAACAAGAGGTTCTAGTTGTCTGTAGAAGTTCTAACTGTACTAAAATGAACCACAGCTAGGATCCCCAAAGTATCATATTATGGCCAATAGTGTATTGAACTAAGTCTGATTATTGCAGTAAGCAGGCAAAGGTTGCCCTATTATCCATACAGTATTCCAAATCACTGTTGACTTTACAGATAATGCCTAATCTTTTGAATTGTTATAGCAATGGAGCAGAAGCCAGTGAAACAGGAAAAATAATGAAATGACGGTGTTTCAGAAAGGAATCACTTTCAGACACTCAATCTTTAAATCCTTCCCACAAGAGATAAAGGACACTATTAAGTTAGTTATTTCTTGTACTTTAGGATGAAAGGATATAATTCTGCTAGTTATTCCCTGCAGAATATTTTTCAGTTTCTCTCCCTTGCTGAAAGCAGAAGGCTTTGCTGTTTTCTTGCTCAGTGTACTTGTAGGCTATACACCATGAGTATATACATTAGAAAGAGGAAGGTTGATGCCTCCCAAATTTCTCAGCTCTTGGATGTTCCAGACTAGGTTAATCTAAGAACCTGTATCTGTGTAGATGATGGTGCAGAAAACTAAGTGAACTTGGTGTACCCTTTTAGCTCAGCTTTTCTTTTTCTGCAGATCCAGATCCACTCAACAGTCATCTCTCCCCCTTGGTTTGATTCTCTAGAACAGAGATGGGCAAATTTCAGATTTTTAAGATCTATTTTGTTTTTATACTGTGAAGAATGGGATTATTTTTTTGTTATCATTCATTGTTTCTGTTTAACAGATTTAAACTATTTAAAAGCATATTCTGTACTAGTAGATCCTACATCTGCCCACCTTGCCTAAAATCCTTTAATCCTTGCGTTATATAACCTGAGAATACTCTTTCTTGAAATTTCTGGGAAATTCTTTCTTAGTTCTGTCTGTGATGTACCCTCCAGTTGTACCAAGCTACATCCATAATTTTCAGAACAGCAGTTTTGAAGTTCAGCCTGGTTGAAGAAGGTAGATAAAAAATTTTGTTCCTTCTTTTTTTCTCAACAATTCTACACATGCCTTGAAATAAGTTATTTGGATTTCTTTGTTTTGATATAACTGATGTCACACCTACAAATCTAGCCCTGAATAACTGATTTAGGCTAGCTTCTGGGCATAGAGAAGGTGCAAAACAATTACCATGCTAAGAGCACCTCCCAACCTTATCTGTGAAGTGAAAAGCATTGTAGTGGCACTTTATTTTCAGCTATGTAGGTTTCTCATTATAATTTATTCCCACTCTCTCTTACTGGGTCCATTTGCACCCAATATGCAGCATATGCACAGACTTTCTAAATTGCCTGGACCCCAGAAATTGTACTGCCAACATTCTGTATAGAAATTTGTTACTATCAATTTCAAACCCCTGGATACATTTCCCAAAGGTGAGACCCTAGAATATATTATTTATTTTACTACCAAATTTGTATCAACCCTTCTCTCTGCTCACGATGCAATTCAAAATTTCCTTAACCACACAGCATCTCCAATTATTACAGCTTTTATGTTAAAGGACTTGTTAACTGCTGTGAAGATACAGGAAAAATAAAAGGTACAAACTTATTTTGCAACACAAATAAGTGTACGCAGAGCATTGGTAAAGAAAACAAAAAACATACCATACCTAATTCAGTTTATATTGTTATTTTTAACCTCTTAGGTAGCTGCTTCATTGCTGACAACTACCAAGATAGATGAAAAAGAAACCAGCAGAAATTTGAGGTATACATATAGGTATAAATATTGATTTAATAGAAAAATAAACATCTAGTGCATTTATTTAGATCTTTTATTATTTCACTTTTAAACTTCCATTCAAAGAATGCGCTTGGATAGGACTGAAGTCCAACAACACATCAGCAAATTTTTCTTCCTGCTCCAGCCCTTCCTTTCTCCTCCCCACTCTTACCTTTGCATGAGAATAAAAATTGCCAGCTTTTCAGTTTGATTGAGGAATACAGTTTCATCAGTGAAAATTGCACTGTACTAGGAATCTTGGTCTTGGTTCATCTAAGTGATTTTTAGTCCAACTTACATATAGTGTAAAATTCCTATCATAAATGGATGGTTCACAGATATATGCCAGATGGCTAGAGGAGAAAATAAGAGAGGTTACTGCCTTCTGTGTTAAGACATTGCACCATTTAAAACATACAGCAAGTAGACCTTTATTTAAAAACTCCCATTTAGGATGTTTTCAAACTTTATCATTATTGTGTAACCTTAAATATGCTTTATTTTTGGGCAACATGTTTAAGCATATGGCTAATAGCAAACTTTGCAGCATTTCTGATTCCCTTTCAGAAATGCTGAATAAAATAATTTCTAGAATTAGTTTAGTTCTAGAACTAGTTTCAAAACTAGTTCTAGAACTAAAATAATCTTTAGTACTCTTGATAATGGCTTACACTATGGAGAAAATGGATCCCTGTTGTTTGTTTATCTTAACTTCTTGATGGTGTTCATGGCCATCAACCAGCGTGCATTAAAAAGTTGTGTTTAAGAAGCAAGTCCCAAAGATTGTGGACTAATGCTCAATGGTTTGGCTTTTTGAAACCCTCCATGGTTCTGTTTTGTCTCCTTTATAAAATCTAAATGAAGCCTTTGGAATGTAACCACAGATTTGGAGTATGGTATCAGCAATTTGTATCATCCTATATCTCTCGCTCTCAAGAGCTTCCAGAGAAGTAATAGACAAATTAAATTAAATCATTATCTGGAAGCAGTAAAGTATTAGAAAGTTGCTTATAAATAAATTGAAGCATAATCCTAAAAATGTGTAGGTAATGCTGGTTGCTATCTGTCGAGGCATTATGTTATATGCAGAGTTTATTCACTTAAGAGCCAGTGTTTCTGCTTGGTATTATCGTTGAACAATGTGGCTCAGGCCAGTAGTGCTGCATTTTGCAGTCTTGGCTACTGCACACCTTTATGCGCTGTGCAAATAATCTGGTCACACTGAAGTTTGATTACTGTTGTGTTTTCCATATGGAGCTCCATCTTGTAGAGAATTTGAAAGTTTCAGGATGCAAAAGGAAAGAACTTGGGTATTGACTGGGACCTATTGTATTGATCATGGTGTACCAGTATTATATATTGATTACCAGCCTTTTCCACAAACCTGTTCAAGGGATGCGTTTACACAACTCACTAATTCAAAATGTAATTTGTTTAACATAATATATGAATTCAGTCAATGTAGTTCATAAATGATGGTATGGTAGATGGCATTCTTCTCCCCGATAACAGCCCTACTACAGAATTCCTTGTCTCAGAATATTTAGTTACCTATTTCACTCCTCACCTTCAGATAGACAAGGAGTAAGAGAATAGTAATATGAAGTTGCTTTTACTGCCATGTGAGTTTTCCCTGAGAAAGGCTTGTAACTGACCAGCTGTTAAAGTGTCACGACGATTGCCTCCAAAGAGTTATAGAATATAGGCTATTATGGCTGTAAAACAGAACCGATTGCACGTTGCTCATTGTATCCACAATCTAGAGTTGGGAGGTTCTTCCAACACTTATTCCCATTTCTGGACAAGAGTTTGGCTCCAGTTCTTCCCTGACAGGTGACTGTGATTCCCATCTCCCTTGAGTTCTCCTGAAGAGGTACCAACATCTCCTTATTAGAGGATTCTTCAGAGGCAGTCCTTACAATAGGATTTGTTTCTATATTTGCTTTATATATATATGAGAGTTCTTGTCAACTGCTTTGCACATCTGTACAGGTACAAAGACAATATATAATATTTTAATAAATAATAATGCCAAATAAGTATGGGAATTATTAACACTAAATAAATAATAATAAGTTCCAAATAAGTATGGGAATTATTAACACTATGAAAAAGGATAGGGCTAAATATTAGATAGTGAACTGTGCCTAAGATGTATTTGGGGTATACTAATTTGATTATTTATTATTGCTATTTTTTTTAATTTATTACTTAGGAGAGCCAGTTTGGTGTAGTAGTTAAGGCACCAAGCTAGAAACTGGGAGACCGTGAGTTCTAGTATTGCCTTAGGCACAAAGCCAGCTGGGGGACCTTTGGGCCAGTCCCCCTCTCTCAGCCTATGAAGGAGGCAAGGGCAAACCACTCTTGAAACCTTGCTAAGACCCGAAGGCATCAAAAAAAAAATTATTCTGAAGTCTACTAAATTTTACATCAATTTGTGCCTGTTTTTATTTTTATTTTGATTTATAATATGCTTAAATAATGCACTAGTATTTAAGATTGGGTTTATACAACATATTAAAACATGAGATGGCTTATTTTGCTTTGGTTTAACTTGTGTAAACCCAGCCAATTGCAATTTATTCAGTAAATCACAATTAAACAAACTCTGGTGACTAATGTATGAATTCAGTTTAAGGTCATGAAAGAAACTGTGCTTTGGGTCTTATACCATTTAGATTTTGTAACTCATTGTTAAGTTGAACTTTAACATTGAAATTTCCTACCGTCCTTCTCTTGAAATGCCTTTTCCTTATACCACAGCTGTTTTATGTTCTCCAGTTTGACCTAAAATAAAAATTGGTATATTGGACTTTAAGTGAAACCTTCACATTATTATTTTTGTTCCCATATGACTTACTTTGTGTACACCTGTATGAAAAAGCAGTGGTCTTTGGGAAGGACTGCTGAACAGCTAGCAAGAATGTCATTAAAGTTGATGAAGCGTTGTATTTAATTTTTTGACAAGTCTTTAGATTGTTTTTACTATTTTTACTTCCAATTTGTTCTTAAGTGACTCAGGGTCTATCATCAGATTTCTTTTTTCATAGGATATGCAGGTGTTATCTTCACAGTGTGTGAGATGAAAATCTGGATGTAATAATTGAAAGATTTCTCAGAATGGAATTTCACATACAGTGAGGAATACATCTGTGCTGATTGTGCTTACACATAAGAGTCTTAGACCCTGATATTTATACTCAAAATAAAAGGCTATTTATATAGGCCTGATCTGCACTACTTTAATGCCTCATTCTGGAAGTGTATATATAAATGTAGAGACATCAGTTTAGATGGGCTCCAGAAAACCCTACTCTTTTAATTTGTTGTATTGAATCCTTTTTTTCATAACACTCCTGAGACATTTGGAGAACTGAGAAGTTGATTTTACAATGAAGGATATGTTAACATTCAACCCTTTTGATGTAATAAAAATTACTTCAAAAATTGTAGAAAATTAATCTGATTTTTGTTTTGCAGAAACAGTGGAAAATGTAATTCCTCAGAAGGTGAAGAACTACAGTTAAAAATTCCACCAGATACCCAGAATAGAAACATTAGGAATTTGAGAAAAAGAACACCAGTCACATTTTCAGAATTAAAAGCTGCTTATCCCTATGAATGTATTTATACTTCATCAGATGCCTCAGAACTCAGATTCAATAATGCAGATGCATTAGCAAGTCAGCAAAACCTGCAAGATCTAAACAATGTCAAAGAGGGCAGAAAGAGTAGTCAGAATGCAAAGGAACATGACAAATATTTTTCATACCATGGTGACATAAATAAATGCATGTCTGTATCTCCAATGAAAGTTCAGAGATCTCCTGAAGAAGCTATTAGCTCAGTGGAAAAATTAGGTGAAGGTAATTCTCTAGTGACCACAAAAAAGGCACAACGTGATTTAAAATCAGATGTTCTTCAGAATGATTCAGATGTACAGTCTGAATACAGCATAGGCATCAGTTTATCCTCAGGCAATAGCAGAAATGGTGAAAATTCTGAAATTCCCAACTACCCACCCACAGATAATTCAGAATCCTCAGTTATGACAGAATTAAGTAAGTCCATGGAACTGCAGAGTTTCCACTCTGAACCCTCTTGCAGTGACAATATCCAAAATTCTGGTGAGTGTTCTGCTATTAGTGAAAATGAATATTTTGAGGGAACTTCTATGCACATTTACAGGACTGTCTATCCTTACTACTCTTGGTACTTCTATCAAACTGGTAGTAATTCCCACTTAGTAACCCAGACTTATCAAGAATTAAATTCCTATGAAATACATCCACTAAATCCTGCAGTATCTGCAACTGTGGTGAATAGTGCATACTCCAGTAGGTTTCACGCGCAGACTATTAGTCACTTTGATGTTAGAGAATCACAGAGTTTTAACATCGCACAGGCCTATCCAGTACATGGGTATTTCAGTTCCGTAGCGGCTTATCCATACACTTACCAGCAGCAGCCCACATGGTATGCAGAACATTGGCCTTTGTCACATGCTGTTTTTCCATATCCTTCCAATATTGGCTTGTGAAACAATGGCCCTTCAGTGTTTCTGCTGTTTTGTTTTTTTAGTGACAGTTACTGGTTCTTAGCATCTTTCTGTCTGACAAAGATAGAATCCAGTAGGATTTAGTTATGACACCGTGATGGTGGATTGGTTTAGAGCTTTTCAGGTTTCTTCTTGTGTTTGTTTATTTAAAATCTGATGTAATAAATCAGCCCTGAACTGCCATACTATGAAAGAGAGAAATGTCATTATTTTATGAGTCAAATTGCAAATGTTCTTTAAGTTGTTTTACTAAAATATTAGCCATAAGATGAGCAGATGAGCATATACTCTTGAAATGAAGGCAGAACCCAGCACTAGGTTAGAGAGTCTAAGCCATTTCTCTCTGCCTGCTTTGCATTGAAATGCTTACAGAATCCTTGAAGAATTTTGTGTAATGTAAAAGGTAAGGTGGAAATTGCCACTGTACTTGAAAAGGCAAAAAACAAAAAAGGATTTTTGTAATAGCTGAACTTTAGAAGAGGTAGACATAGAATCACACATAGCATGATTCTCCTATTGTAGACCATGTGTATTGTTTCACTACTGTACAGCAGAGGAAAGGTTTATGTTATTACAATGAGAATAAAAACCATCACATAAAGTCTATATTTTTGCTTTATTTTCAAAGGCTTAATAGTGGTCATCTTTTTGTCCTGAGTCAAATCTTTTTCATGACCTTTCTGTCCAATGTTTTGAATACTTTATTAAAATATTTACTTAGATCTTTGATGATAAGACTGCTGCTTATTATTTCAGATAAGACTGCTATTGAAAACTTCAGAGAAAGTCAAACCTGTGAACATTTCAGAACCACATGACACAGGTAGTCCTTGGGTTACCACGGCAATTGGGACCAGAATTGCCATCACTAAGCAACACAGTCATAAAGGACAATATCACACAACCATACCACTTAGTAACAGCAGTTCATTAAGCGAGGACCACACTGGTTGTTAAGTGAGGACCTCACATGACCACAACTTCCAACTTCTGGCCAGCATCCCAATTTACTTTGCTTGTGGGAAGCCGGCAGGGAATGTTGGAAATCACGATCACGTGACCCCAACTCGCTGCAACATCATAATCACAAACCAAGCACCAAGTGCCCAGATGGCAATCACATGACCGCCGGAATGCAATAGCTGGAAGGACACGTAAGTCCCCCTCATTCAGCGCTGTCACAAGTTTGAACAGTTGCTGAACCAGTGGTCATAGCCTGAGGACTGCCTGTACAATAAAGTTACATTGGGCTGTTGGTACGTTTAGTCAAATGAAATAGAAGCTCTGGTTTTGACCTTTAAAGCCCTATGTGGCATGGGGCCAGATTATCTGAGGGACTACCTCTCCCCGATTACATCTACCCATCCCATTGGGTCCGGCAGGAGAGGCACACTGCAGGTCCTGTCAGCTAAGGAGTTCCATCTGACGGAACCCAGGAGACGAGCCTCTTCTGCCATAGCGCCCACACTTTGGAACATCGTCCCCCCCAAGGTGAGAGGAGTCCCAACCATTGTGACCTTCCAGAAATCCCTTAAAATGTGTTTTTTCTCCACAGGCCTGGGGATCACCTGGCAACAGAGCCTGGGTTCTGGCTGCATCACTTATACCATTCTGATGTATTCCCTCTTGCAATTTTGTTTTTATTTGTTTAATTATTTTAAGTGATCTCTGTAGAATGTTTTAATTGTTGATTTTATTGTATGCCACTCAGGGTCACTTTGTGTGAGATGGGTGTATCTTTGATAAATAGGTAAACTATGATTTTATTGTACCTTGGCACCACACCTCCCTGGATTTAAAAATTGAACTTAATAGCAATGGAGGCGAATATGTATTCAGCTTGGTATTCGACAAGGCAGCAATTAACCGACACATAGAGATAAACAGCATCTACATACTATTCAAAAGAG